CTACAGTCTTTCAGTATTTCACATTTTCTTTTACCTTTGCAGTATTAGCCTTCTATTAACACATGCATTTCCTTCACAGAGAATATTATTGAGAGGTCAAAACTGGCAATACTATTTTCTTATTTAAGCCTGTAGGGCAATGCTAAAGCTGTTGTTCTGGACCACAGTTCTACACATTCTTGTTAAAGGTTAGGAATTCATCACAAAAAGCTTTGGGTTTTTACTTAATATTGTTAGAGTAAAATCCATAAAGCACGTAGTGGTATATATCAGCTCAGCTGTAATGGAACTCAAATTGTGATTCATGTGTATAGATTGCTTGTCGCATTTGAAATATTAGAGCTCATCTTCTAGTGGTCTTTTGAGGTGATAAAAATACATGATTTATGTTTCTCTCTAGACTGGTGAAGTAGTTTGTTTTTCTTTTAAAAAGGTATACTTATGGTCTCTAAAATGAGACTTGACACAGTATAATGATCATTCACAAATCACCAGCTTCCATCTACATAAGCTAGTTCTTTGCTTCAGCTTTTTGGTAAGGGTTGCTGGATGACAGGGTGGGTTGCCTTGGTGAGCAAGAGCTGTTCTCCTGGGTTCAGGTGTTTCCTTAACAGTGAAACGGGGTTCACTGCCCATACAGATCTCTCCCTACCACAGTACCCACCCACCCTACAGCTAATCAGTTATCACTAATCTTAGCAATTCTAAATAGACTTTGTGAACTTACAGGGAACTACACAAGTTATTATCTTCCATTAACTCTGCCAGTGCACTCAGCAATGCTATGAGTACACTGGGACAAAACACAAGAAAAACATCTCCCTGCAGCTACCTGTTTAGCACCTTTTTGCCACACAGCAAGCCCTCATCATCTCCTACCAACCAGCCAACACCAGATGGGCTGGAAAGACAACACAAATGCTGTTGAACCCATGGCCAGTGAAAGGGGGCTCCTCACCTGCAAATGTACTTTACAAACCACTTGACTCTTTTCATAGCTGACTTGGAGTCCTATTGCTAATTATTTCTTATATATAACGAAAACAATGAGACTCCAAATCACAACTGGAGCAGCCTTCTATTGTTTGGCACCTCCCAACAAGTCACATCAAACCAAATTAATCTCTGCTACAAAGAAGTCACAGTTCCTGTTAACGGCAATGGTATTTTTGTCCATTCACCCAAAAGGTAAAATGCACCTACTGTTTTTTAAACTGTTAGTCCTGTAATAACCCCAAACAACCAACCCTGAAACAAAACACACTCTGCCTCTGGAACAGCAGACCATTGTTTGCATGCATTTAATAATAATAATCAATTAGGACATTAGCAGTGTCATCCCCTATTGTTTGGGGCTTTACAGTTTAACTACTGAAAGACAATAACATTCAAATCAAAACAAACTAAGAAGCATTCCAGAGCACCAACAGATGATGTATTTGGAAACATGCTAAGCATCAGAATCTATTAACCCATTTCCAGCTACCTCCCAGTTACTTTCTGGTTGGGCAGCATATTTTCCCAAATTTAATTCTAATCTTTAAACACTATTTAAGGAAGGAAAGACAGAAAAATCAAAAAAGAGGAAAAAAAGGACAGCTTTGCAAAAAGCTCTAATGTCCAATTCATGACTCCCAACTAGAAAACATTATTACTGGGGGAGAGAAATTGCCCTCCCTTCTTATTATTCAGTTTAATGTTATGCCTTGACTTGAACTGTATTCAAGCCTGGTCTAAATAATCTGGATTTTTAAAAATGTAAAATCAACCTATGTTATTTAAATAACATCATATGTTAAAATATGTTCACAAGTTGATAGAATCACATAAAAAAAAAAGTTGACAAAACAGTAGAGCACAACAGTAGTGGAGCATAAGAGGGGTCCTAAAATTTCAGTAACTCCATGCTTATGCAAAAATGAACACAAGCTGTTTTCACCCCACTGACTTACCAGCTTCTTGTTCGTTATATTTAGTTTTAGTTCTCCATTTCTCCCTGATCCTATTCTCTCCTGTTCTTATCTCCTTTCCACTGCCAGACTCACTTGACTTCAGCTCTGGTTACCCCTCCCTCCCTTTTTTAAACCCTCTCACTGCCTATCTTCTTTAGCACAAGTCTAACGTACCCCATACCTGGTTTTTACCTTTGGCACAGGGTTAGTTTCTCAAATTGCACAATACAACCCTCAGGGAGCCATAAAGCATTAGACAGCAGGAGTCAGCAGTTCCCTGTGAGCTGGCAGCAGCTCAGCTTCCCCCAGTTGCCCGATTAAGAGAAAACTAATTATTTGCTGCAAATGGTTAGGCCAGCCTTAAAACTGTTTACCAGCTCAGACTTCTTGACAGCAATTCATCTCCTCCAAGGCAGGGCAGAGGTGCAAACACAGGCAACCCTCAGTGTTCCTCTGACTTTGAGGGATGGAGCTGCTGCCCAGTCAGAGGCAGGAAATAAACCAAAACAAAAGCAGATAAGCCAACAGAAAACTTCCCTTTCAATGGGACTGAGAAACATTATTCTAATATCGTTAAGTTACTAAGTGGCTAAAAATACCATCATAAATTAGGGCGGGAGTAGAATCACTGGGAATCCATGAGCAGTAACATAACTACCTATATAATATATATAACAAAGGAACAAACAAATATTTAAAAACACCTACTCACAGGCAAATCACACTTCAACAGTCATACTTCCCAGTGGTCCATACAGACCAGCCCTGAACTAACGCAACATTCCTGAGAAGGACAAAAACAGAAATTGGAGTTACCTTCCTCCTCTTTATTTCAATACTACTAAGCTTAACTTTGTTTGCAAGTCACACTCAAGGAAGCAACTAGTCATTCTCTAATGAAGGCCACAACACCAGCACCCCTTTGCTACCTATTTCTCAGCTACATTAGTAAACAGTCCACCAGTCATACAGGAAAGTGGTTGCTTCCCCAAATCTGCTCTGGTGAAATCAGCCTTTGACATTAAAACACTGCCTATGAGCTCCCTTCTCCATCCTTGTTAATGCTTACAATAATACACAAGTCATTAGCATCCTTCAGTTACCATTTTTTGCCTTAAAAAAATGAAAATTAAAAAAAGAAATATGAGCTTTTCATAACCTGAGCCTCCAATGATCTGACCAACTTTGGAGCCAGGTTATCTGAGCCCCAGTCATTTTGGTCGCCATCCCTCCAAATCACAAACCTGCCATGATGGATGGCACCAGGCTCTTTAAAGCTTCCTGTCCAGACTACCTGGTGTCCCACTAAGGGAGGAGATTTCCCTTTTATTATTATTCCACTAAATTCTGCTCCTCTCTAAGGAAAATGGAAAGTTTGCGGTTCCACTCTTCCCCATGCTTTCCATCATTATTCTGGCAATTTATGATGCGTTATGAAATGTCTCTGCAGTTGGTTTGGGGGGATGATCCCTCAGAGCCTTGAGATCTCTTGGGTTAAACCCAGTTTATTTAATTTGACCTTTATGTAAAGATCACTTAAATCAGTTAGAAAGCTGACACTGACACGTTAGCATTAAAGAAAATAGAAGTAGCATGGTGGTGTTTTTAGCAGAAAGGAGCTGTTTCCTTAACCTCAAGTGAAGGACTGCATTCATTTGATAAATACATTAACAGAAAATGTTCATAGACTTATAAATATTACTATTTTAAAAGCATCTGAAGCTATAGCTCTTAGGGATGGTTGATAACTTATTCATAAGGTATCTCTGACAGTTGCAAGTAAGTTATTTTAAAAGATATGCAGCCAGAATTTACATATGATAATGCAGTTTAGAGAACGTGGATTAAAAATACTCACAAAAAGCAGAAGGAAACATTTGGGGGAACAGGTTTTGGCTAACAGCAGCAGCTCAGTCGTTTGCTCAAACATGCAGAAGCAACTAAACTAAAAAACAAGATTCTTCTTGTATAATAGAAGCCACTATGGTGCTTAGAACTCAACTGAAGTTCAGAAAGATTGGTTTATCCATCATTCAAGCCTTGTAATTTTTACTTCTAATTATTCTTTGAAAAAATAGTGATATTTGTGTTTAGAATGCATGGGAGCATAATTGTGTGCCTGAGTGGGTGTAAAGTCTTTTCTTTAAAGATGCTACTTAATTTGCTCTTCCACTAAGTGGCTTATGAGAGGCTATGTAACGAGCAAGCTAATTTTCAGTTTCAGAGTCTGTCTGGCAAGCAGGATTCTGAACTTTTACCCGAGTCAGTGCCACTGTCCCTGCTCTCCAGCTACTCTCTGGCCTCTTGGACTCAATCAATGCAAATCAATGTCTCTGAGGACACTGACAATTTGTGGATTCTGAGGACATTCATTACATCCTCTCATGGACACTAAGGTAGAAGGTTCTTCATTACCCCCAGGTGTTTTAACATACTCAGGAAGACCAGAAGCTACTTCAGGAAATAATTCTTTATCTCAGGGAAATGACCTGGTGCCTATCAGAAAAAAAGAAAAAAAAAAAATCCACAACCACTTTTACATCCCTGTGAGCTGTATTAAGCCCTTTGAAGAGTAAAGAGTAAGATGTGACTGCTGCTGATTAGAAGGAGACCACTTCAACTAAAATGGAGCTAATCCCAAATGAGATGGTTCTGGCCCCACAGGAGTTGCTGCTCTCAGACCTCTGCAGGACAATCCCACAACAGGAGAACTTCTCCACTCTCTAGTTGAGAGTACAGAGGGGTTTCGTGGGTTACAGAACTACCACTGCATCCCTCAAGAACAGGACTGCATGATGAACCAGCAGGGATCTCTGTTATCTCCACCTATAAGTCAGAGTAATATTCTTGACAATATTGTCTGATCTGCACCATGCTTCTCCAGTGAATCCAAACAGGGCAACAAAAATGGGAATATCTGCAGAGTCTATTCCCTTACATAAATGGTGCTCATCAGAGCAACACCATTTGCAATCAGGGACACGGAGGGAGTTAACTGCTTTCCCCAGGCTAGGACCCATGACAGAAACCCCAACAAATTACTACAAGGACAGGGGTAGGAAGAGTTATATATAATAAATCTAACTGGACTACTCTC